TGAGATACCAAAGAAGTTAAAGTAATTTTTATTGAAATACCTTTTGACCTTTTACTGTCTCTTGAAGTGCCAATCAGTGTTGCTACTTTAGCATGCCACTATTAGCCATGATTGATTCGGCAATGCAATGCATGTCTAGGAAAGCAGTTAATTTGGAATGAAAAGATTCGAGTAGAAAGGGAAGACGACTAAAAATTTAGTAATTTAACTTGTATTCATAGGTCGACCACTACACTTACCATGAGGGTATTCGATTGTTGTTCTCGCCCCGCTATTATTATTCTTTCAGAATCCTCAGTGAGGAAATTAAATTTGACAAAACTGTGCCAAAAATAGCTATTCAAAAGGGTTGTTAATTAATGGAGTCATCACCAATCATTTTTTAAGTGTTCTAGCTCACCTGATTTATTTTTATTTGGAAATTACTTTTAAATTTTTAAAGAAAATCCTTTTTGAATTTATTTAACTCACACCAATGAGCCACTGGAAATTTTGGACCAAGAGCTTCAATTGATCGAGTAAAAAGTGTTGGGGACTCCCGTGGTAAAAATTAGGGGTGTTTATCGGGTGGATCGGGCAAATAATTATATTTAACGGTTCGGTTTAACGATTCTGCTAGCCATCCTATAAGACAACAGGCGGATTGATATCAGATTAATAATTATCGGGCGATTTATCGGCTAAACCAAATTAAAATTTTTGAACAATTATTCAATCTATACCAAGACTACACATACTGTACAAAGAGGTGCAAGATTGGATCAACGCTGCAGAATCAGTGGTACTTTTTCAGCCACGAGGATAGGGAGTATATATCCCACATGTTCAAGAACAAACCGAGCAACAAATGCCGGATTTTGGAAGGCAACAGGCAGGGACAAATGCATAAGTTGGAACGCAACAGACTGTCTGTCATACACATATTAACCAAATTTGTAAAACCAGAAAAGCGCATTAGTTCAGTAATCAATCAAACTTTCAAAAGGACATTCGTTCATAATCAATCAAACATTCACATTCGTTCAATATTACTTTATATACATAGGGGTAAAAGTAAATATATAAAAGTCTTAACGGTTTACCCGATAAGAAAATTGAGTAATCCGCCCCCAAACCATTAAGCCGTTAATTATAAAATCTCAATGTGTTCCCTATCCATTACTCCGATAATCCGATACCAATAAGCCAACAAGCCATCGGTTCGGTTTGATTAATATTTTCGGGTCGGTTTTGAATAGCCCTCATTTTTTTTATATATGAGAGATTTACTTTTACACGTAAGAGATCTATTTTTTACACATAAGAAATCTAAAAAGGTCATTTTCTTAAATTATAAATTGTAAAAGGGCATGATGTACAAATCGCACTAAATAAAGTCAAGAATAATATAATTAAAGTTATATACAATAATTGTGTAAACTATTTTCCCTTTGTTTTATGTGTTATGTCAAATGAAATATTAATAGCTTGGAGAATAAATCATGTTAATTCACTACTGCTGTTTAACACAAAATAGTCACAACTAAGTTAAAAAGTAGGCATGATGTGGAATTAAATAGTAGTCTTGTTGGTACATATACTTTAATAGAAAGGTAAGTCATAACAACATATCTCATCAATATCAATCATCTCCTCTAGAAACTCAAAGAAATAAGGTAAAATAGATTTGATAAATCTATCTCAAAATTGGAGCTCAGATATTTTTCTTTATTATTATTAGTTTGCTATGATCCTTAAATTGCACTAGTAAATCTTTACTATTTTAGTCATACAGCAAAATTAATCGCATTTCCTTTTTAAAAAATATATATAGGGGAAAAAGAAAATGGTTGCTTTATAAGATTAGATTGCCAACTATGTCCAGTTTCATATCCATACCCCGGCCGAAAAGTAAGATTAGTCAACTACTTCAAATCACAAACTTTGCTCTCAACAAGTGTGCTTTTACTTTACGATTTGTCCGTACGAACAAGTCATTTTGTCACTTCATAAGAAAAAGTAATAAATTATTACCCCTGTCACTTTCCTTTCTGTTGAATTTTCAAATTCTACATATGACCAAATTTAAAAACGTTATAAGTGGTTTTCGTTGACTTCCAAAAGGTTCTTTGGCTAGATTTGTAAACTTGCGCGCAGGCCAACGGTAAAATTGTCAAGTTTTGTGTCATTCATTGAATTTGTACCTAACTTCTAAAAAAAAAAAAAAAATTAACAGACCCAATTCTTGGATAACTTCATATACATACATTTTTATTTTTTTTCTTTACAAATGGGTTTGTTTAATTTGTTATTGTTTTGACAATTTGGTGATTGAGATTTCTTCTTTATGAAATTTGAATGTTATGTTTCAAATTTGAGCTCATTTGAAATAGATTTAGGCATTGAATTGTGTACTAGATTGTTGAAATTCGAAGAACAAGTTTATGTTTCAGAACTTAAGATCGAAATCTGAAATTGCATTCAATAGATTGAACTACTTAAGATTCGAATTTCTAAAGATGTAAGGATTTCATATTTAGTTTTTAAAATTGCATTGAAGAGATTGAACTACATCATATCCGAGCAGGTACACTTTGTAAAATTTTGTGCAATACGAATATAACTTCAATGGTGATCCCAAAAGTGGACACATGAAAATGATCTGTGTCAAATATTCTCAAATTATTTGCCAATAAATTATTGATAAGTACTAACGAATTAGTTAGTTCTTTCTGTAAAAAGTAAAAAAAGAATACCACCAAAATTTAGAGTTTCAAAATATTGATTAAAAAAAATACAACGACAGTTTTTACTAGTAGGGTCATAAAACTAAAAATAAAATTGTAAAGAGCGACAAAATCAATTGACCTTTTATTTAGGGTCGGCTAAACAAATTTAGTGGTCTAAAGCCAAAATTTAATAAGAATTCGAATTTTATACCCCTATATAAAGTTATCTTTCCTTTTTTTATCCGTACTTATTTATAGTATTGTATTCTTACAGGATATAAGACTTTTAACTTTATTTAATAATATTATTATGTATATTAGCAAAGGTTAATTCAAAAAATATTAGTCATATGTTTGCAATACATTACCTTGGATCTTGTCGTAAAAATTTTATTTACTAATATGAAAGTTTAAGTAGTTTAATTCAAAGTTCTAAAAAATTTCTAATGCTAAAAGGTAGACATTCTTTGTTTCTTTCATTTTTACACAAAATTTGTACTTTTTTTTTCTATAAACGTCAATATTGTCTAATCTAAAATATTACTTATGCATTCCACCATTAATACTTTTTGGACCTCAAAATTTTGGAGACCTAAATCAAAGACTTTACTAGCCTCACCTTTGAGCCACCCATGACTAGGAGTGTGCATTCGATTTTGACCCTTATCGATAATTACTTATCGATTATCGATCTGTACATATGCTTATCGTTATCGTTTCAATAAGGTTTCGATTTTTTCGATTTCTGGGGCTTATTGATTCGGTTATCGATTACACCTAGTGCTGTATTCTGGCCCGGGCCTTCGTGGGCCAAACGGGCCGGGCTTCGTGGGCCTGGGCTTNGGGATTTCACGGAAAATATATCGCTATAAACACGTCTAACTAATATGGATAAAAAGAAACTAAAATAAGACGAACACCATTTATAACATATAAATTGTGTCAACAAGCACGTGGAACGAAACTAAAGTAAGGGATCAAATGTATGTCACCAACACTCCAACGATATATAAAAAAAATACATCATCACGGCTAACTCTGTTTTCCATTAATTTGAACTTCATTCGCTTGAGCTTTAAATATGATCATTCATTAAATGTGGTATCCCTTGCTGAAAGTCCTAACCTTTAAACCTGAAAGAAATTAAGAAAAATATTAAGAACTCTGTCTTTTTAGTATATCTTATCGGTTTATCGATGAACTGATAATCGAAGAGGACAAAATCAAAATCGAAATCGATTACCCGATAAGAAAAATTTCGAAATCGAAATCGAAATCGATAAACCGATAACAAATAATCGATTCGATTTATCGATAAACCGATTCATGACTTTATTTACATTGGATTATTACGTTAAACTGATGACCTGCTATCTCAATAGAGGGTGAGAGGATTCAAAACCTTCTCGTTATGTACTTTTAATTGATAAATTAAGGAAGAATGAATAGAGGGGGTTAAGATTCAAAACCTTCTCGTTATGTACTTTTAATTGACAAATTAAAGGAGAATGACAAGAACGTTTTAGCACGTATAGAATTAGTTAATAAAATTATAAGGAATTAAACAAACAAATTTAATCAGGAAATAATTAATAGTAAAGAATAAATTTGTTTAGAATCCACAAAAATTTTAAAAAAATAAAATAAGCCAGCTAAGTAAGAGCAATTTACGAGGAGGAAGTATATCCCGTTAATCTATTCAGCTAGAATATATGTCGACATTTTTTCGACACATAATATAGTTAAGAATTGTTTTTGCCCTATTTCCCTTAGTTCTTTCTCCTTCTCTCCAGTTTTATAGACCCTTGTGACTTTATTATGTCTTCACATTTTGATATCATTAATACGTGTTTCCTAATACATCTGCGATAACCAAGTAATGTATATGTTTTATTATACATCAACCTTTAATATATTATTTTTTCAAGTTCTGACTTTGTGTTTCGGAATCACTTGCATTAGGGTAGACTGTCTACGTCACACCTCATTGATGTACGCATTTTCCTGAATCCTACGTGAAGTTGTGAAGACGGAATGCTTCATGCACCCGACTTTTCCTTTGACTTTTACTTTTTAATTTACAAAATTTATGGCAGTTTTTTCTTGATTTTCTCTCAGCCATTTTCAAGTGCTAATATAAGAGCCAAACTATCAATTTGGATCACATATAATTAAGAAGCATAGATCACCACGATTTTGACATTGGAATTTGTTAAACACTTCAGATTCTAAGTGTTTCATTTCTCTCAATCATACTTCCACAAACCTTTTTGGTTTTCTAAACCTAGAGTCATGACAAAGTTAGAAAAAGTAGTTTTTTGGTACATTCTCTTGCTTCTTCCTGCTATAGTATTAGGAGAATGTACTTGTGATTCTGAGGATGAAGAAAGAAACAAACCTGAAGCACTGAAATATAAAATGGTAGCAATCGCTTCCATTTTGATTGCCAGTGCAATTGGGGTTTGTATTCCTGTACTAGGAAAAGCAATTCCAGCTTTGAGCCCAGAGAAGAATTTCTTCTTCATAATCAAAGCTTTTGCTGCTGGTGTGATCCTCGCGACAGGGTTTATACATGTACTCCCTGATGCATTTGAAAGCTTAACATCGCCATGTTTGAAAGAGAATCCGTGGGGAAATTTTCCATTCAGTGGATTTATCGCAATGGTTTCTGCAATGGGAACTCTAATGGTGGACACTTATGCAACTTCATATTTCAGTAACAAAAATGATACGAAAAATGGATTGGTGGCTCAGTCTGGAGATGAAGGAGGAGCTATACATGTTCATTCACATGGCCATGCACATGGTTCATCATCACTGCTGGGTGATTCTAGTTCCGAGCTCCTTCGTTATCGTGTTGTATCTCAGGTAACCCTAACTCCAATATTACTTACTCATTATGCGTCAATTTACATGATACTCTTTTCTTTTTAGTTAATCCCAAAAATATATACTATCTATTTATATTTAGTAACTATTTAAATCTGAACTTTTCATTTAACCTTAATGACACATATTTATAGTCACATAAATTTCTTTGGCTTGTTTAAAATCATAAATTTAATAATTTTTTTCTTTCTTAAATTTTGTGTTTAATCGAACACATCATATAGAAGTACCTTTTAAATATTTCTTTTATCACATTGGGGTATCAAGAAGGAAAAGGAAAAGGAGGATAGTCATGAAAATTGAACCATGCCTTGTTCTTAAGTGTGTGTTTCTCACTATCGATACTACTAGACTTAAAAAAAGAGTGTCTCTTAGTTCTCCTTAGCTATTCCTCTTTTTCCTAATTGATATTTATGTCAACTTAAGATTGTTATGAAGGTGGTTTTATTTTTTCGTTTTTTCCGTTGAGATTAACTATAATTCCTGAGCAATTTTAAGGTTGAAGAAGTTTTTCTTCTGTATGAATTTTGTATATAATCTATCATTTGTGTTAACCAAAAGGAAAAAAGAATCGGCGAAAGCACAAATTTTTGTAATCAACTCAATAGCGTGGATATAAACAATTTTCAATGCCGTAGAGATTTGAGAATTTTATACTGAAGTCAACAATATGATATCATAACGAGAACTTAAACAATATACTGTTCAACTCATCAGAAAAAAGGGAAGTTTTTTCGGATGAGTTATTTTTTTCTGGATAATAGAATGCGCGGAACTATTTTCATTGATAATTCCTGTTTCTTCCTTTTTGTTTTTTCCCCTCACTAACCCTCGTTGTCCTATACATTTCCAATTCGCAAAAAAAAAAAAAGATGAAAAAGGAGGCACTATCACCCTTGTTTATACTCTCCCCGTTTTAACTTATGTGAATCTATATTTTTTTAATCCGTTCCAAAGAGAATAGCTACTTCCTTATTTGGAAAGTGATTTATAACCATCCAGAAGATAAAAGTAGCAAAGATGAGGATGTTGAGATGGATGTGTGGGCATACCAGAAAAGACCGAATTAGGATTGAAGTTATTAGGGATAAGGTGGATGTGGCTCCTGTGGAAGAGAAGTTGCGGGAATCGAGGCTGAGATGGTTCAGGCATGTGAAGGGGAGAGACACCGATGTCCCGGTAGGAGATGTGAGAGGTTGACCATGGCAGGTCAGAGGTGAGGTAGAGGGAGGCCTAAGAAGTATTGGGGAGGGGTGATTAGGCAGGACATGTCACTACTTTAGCTTATCTAGGACATTACCCTTGATAGAAAGCTGTGGAAGTCGAGAATTAGGGTTGTGGGTTGACAGGTAGTCGAGAGTCTCTACTAGTCGTACTAGTAGTATTAGTACTAGTCTTGTATTCTCCTATTCCGAGTTACTTGTTGTTAGACGATATGGCATTATTGCCGGTAATTTTCGCACTTCTCTTATAGTTTCGTATTTCCTAGATTCTTTGCTATTACATGTTGTGCTGTTTGTTTCTGTTATCTTATTTCCTTGTTGTTGTTACTGTTTGTTTATTGTGTCCTTATCACTGTTCTTGAGCCGAGGGTCTATCGAAACAACCTCTCTTCCTTCATAAGGTAGCAGTAACGTTTGCGTACCCATTACCCTTCCAAGACCCCACGTGTGGGATTGCACTAGGTTTTTTGTTGTTGTTGTTGTAGTGATTTATAGTCACAAAAAATATATATGTGCCTTATTTTACACCACAAGTTCAAAAGTCTTCTCTTTTTTCTTGAACTCCGTACCTAGTTAAATAGATTCACATAAATTAAAACGAATGGATTAATATTTATTTTTACATTATTTATATATAGATGTTAAACTCTATTATCATTAACATTTCTCCATTTCTCCTGGGGCATGCAGGTATTGGAAATGGGGATAATAGTGCATTCTGTGATAATAGGAATAGCTTTGGGTGCTTCTGAAAGTCCCAAAACCATAAGGCCTCTTGTTGGTGCTTTGACTTTTCATCAATTTTTCGAAGGCATGGGACTTGGTGGATGCATTGCTCAGGTAATATATATATCACTTCATCTTTTCAAAGATCAATTTTCATAATTAATCATATTGGTACTTTTACCTCTCATCTTATTATAATGTGTGATAACTTCTTGAACAATGATGGAGTTATTGGCCGCTCTACTATTCTTCAGGAAGCTTGTTTGGTTTGGGTCAATACTATAATCTTAGTGATAGTTTTAATAGATAGTATCTTAAAGGTTATGATTTTGGTTCGACAAAAGGCCCACGCCCAAGTTCCATAGTTTTTGGTTCGCTATTGCGAAAAGGTACTTCCCTTCTGGGCTGTTGTGGGCGAGAAGGGATTCGAACCCCTAACACTGTGATTCATAGCCACGTACTCTAATCCTCTATGCCCCCACCCTGTCTCCACTTGATCTGTTCCCGAGAGTACCCTAGAAAAAGGAAACCTTTCTTTCCCCGCCATTTCGAGTTGTCAATACTTGTTAAATTGAGTTACATATAATTAACCACTTTGTAAATAGGTCATTGTATAAATATTTCTTACATGTCAGCAAACAAAGCTTAAACTCTTTTTTGGCCCTTCATGCAGGCAAAATTCAAGACTCGGGCAGTGGCAATAATGGCTTTATTTTTCTCACTTACAACTCCAGTGGGTATTGCAATTGGACTAGGAATAACAAATGTTTACGATGAAAACAGTCCAACGGCTCTCATTGTGGAAGGAGTATTTAATTCAGCATCAGCTGGTATCTTGATTTATATGGCATTAGTTGATTTTTTGGCTGCTGATTTTATGCATCCAAGAATGCAAGGCAATGGAAAACTTCAATTAGGTGCCAATGTTTCACTTCTTCTTGGTGCTGGACTCATGGCTCTCATAGCCAAATGGGCTTAATTTGATCAACACTGATTATTATCAATTTCACATTATTTGTCTTTTTCTTTTAAATTTTTTTCTGTCTTATCTCTTGACAGAGTGTTATACAGGATGTGACTGTAATTTTTTTGATTTTGCATTTTCCCATGATTTATTGATTTGTATTGATTACATGGAAGATTCTTCCTTGGTTGTGTGCCTTGTGTGCTTTGGAACGTGTTGATTGAGATCAACCTTTGGATTGTCATAAATAAGATAAACATTTTTTTACAAGAATTCTCCTTTATATTCTATATATTACACGTACAATTTATTCGTAGCTCAACACAATAACACTTTTGTGTTGAGAGTGAATATTGTTAAAAACTGAGCGTGGTCCCTCCCTCTGAGTGTGCAAATGCATAATGAAAAATATCTGTGCTGTGCTTATTGTAGCGTGTGTGATATGTGTATGTGAGCAGATAAGAATTTAAGAGGTGGCAAAATTTCCTTCTTCCTTTTTTTCTTTTCTTTTTGAAATTTTCCTTTTCATCATAAATAACATCTCTATTGCCCGGGTAGGGGTAAGGTCTGCGTACACACTATCATCCCAGACCTCTTGTGAGATTTTACTGGGTTATTGTTGTTGCCTATTTAAGAGGAAGAATTGTGTTAAGCCGTGGGATATCCTTTTATATATTGACATTCATGGTGGTAAAATCTTGTGTTGTAATTGGTTCCAGTAGTCTTGGAAAAAGTCGTTCCCGGCGATAGTTGCAGAGAACATCTCTACTTTATTTGCATGCCAAGAGACTACATATTTTTCTAGTGAACTGCTCCAAAATGTCAAGTATTGGGAGGCAAATATGCGCAAAAGAAGGCTGTCACCAAGTTTCATTCACTAATGGTACTGTTTCTTAAATAGTTCTTACCCTACTCATTTTCTGGCCATCAATTTTTTAACTGGAGGTGCCACTATTTTTCTTCTCATATTGCTATTTCCTATTTCCTTGATGTTTCTTGCACTGGTTTTAATTGTTTACGATGAAGAAGAGTTATTTGGGCTAGAGATTGACTGCTTCTTTGTTTTGTACAATCTCATGGGATAAACTTTCTTTTTCCTTATCTTATTATATTTCTTACACAGTATAAGAAAGAACCAAAATTTGTTTTAGAGATGAAATGAATAGACCACATAGCAGCTTCTTTTAGATAAAGAGGACTGCATTTGTATTTTGACTTGTAGATGTTGGTTTACAGTAGTAGAATTTCAAATATAAGCTTTAAAGAAACAAATGAACCGAAGTATAATTGGAATGTAATTCTAAAACCAAAACAAATGTAGATGGATAAATTTAAACAGTTTTCCCCCAAGTATTTTGATGCATCGAATCTACTAGATCGAGGTTTAATCGGGTCAAGGCTCTGCTACTCTATGCTAAAGCTCCATAGGGGTAATTTTAATAAATTTCCGTTAGTAAAGAAGTAAACTTTTGTGGAGTCCAGCCCTTGAATTATGGAAGAATTCTCTTCCTTTGTTAACTTTTGTCAAATTAAGCAGTCTGCACCTGTAATATCAAATGTGGTAGGCTGTATTCTGCCTATAAAATGAGAGCTTCGGCTCTCATTTTTAACATCATCAATCTCAGAAGAAAATATATCTGAGAGCTAGAAAGAAAGAGTGAGGTTTCACAGACAGGATATAAGAAAATAGTCTGTGAAGAAAATAGAGAGTGTGAGTGATATCGTAGTGAGGTGAAATATCAAAAGAGGGTTATTTCTTTTGAGTATTGTAGTGGTCTTTATAGTATTTTACTTGGGCCTATAAAGTGTAAATTCTTTACTATAGTGATATCAGTTGCTCCTCTCGGAGTCGTGGTTTTTCCCTTATTCAGAAGGGTTTTTCACGTAAAAATCTTGGTGTCATTGTTACTC